AGACCTAGTCTACCCAATCTTGAGTTGGTTCCAGATTGCAGTCTGATCGTGTGGACCTGAAACGTTAGCACATAAGGCAATCATAGAGAAATAAGGAATGTTTGCTATCATCAAAATCATAAACCATAGATCCGTAATAATAACTCCATGGCCCAGATGGTAAAAGCATCTTGCAGAATCCGGAAGGGAGATAGATTCAAATCCACCCTAATGTCCGTTATGAACTTTATTACTGTTAAATTTTTGTGTTACTGTGGGCTTTTCTGTTAAATGGTAATGGGCCAGAGGGGGGGTCCAACATGGAACTAACCCAAGACTTTTTGACCCGACCTGAACCTCACCTGTTCTTGCAAACGGGTCGGTTTCTTGAACCCGAACACGACCCACTTCAGGTTCGGGTCAACCCGAACCATATATTTTGATCGAAAGAAAAGCAATGGGAGTTTACTGGCTGTGAAGGTAACTTTCTCTGTTTCGTGGACGTCTACGACTCTACGGTTTGCTTTTAATCTTACCTTTTTCGTCGTTGTTGTTTGGCTTCGTTCCGCATGAGGTGTGGAGATTGCACAAGTCGCTTCATCGACTCCTTCATTGCAGTTCGACTTTGCTCCTTCGAAGGCGTTATCGAAAGTTACAAAATTTTGATCGAAGCAACGACGGGAGCTCGCTCGCTGTGAAGGTAACTTTCTCCCTTTCGTCACTTTCGTGTGCTTAGAGGCATCTAGGGTTTGCTTTTTATCTTCTCTTTCTCATGGTTTGCTTTTAAAGTAAATATATTCTAAATCATGTAAAAAAACTGGATATCAAACAAGAACTATGAGATGTGATTTTATAATTGGTTTCCCACTTAAGTGAAAAAAAAAATGGAAGTGTTGGAGTAAGGGCTTCAAATAATTTGACATATTAGTGATCTTGAAAAAGAAAAATATGTGGAATAAGAAACTCATTTAGGGCATCTTCAATTGAAAAATTCATTTTCCACTCCAAATTATAGAAACTCATCTCCAACCCGATTTCACTTCATAACACTAAAAAAAATATTTTGAGTATATTCTTTCTCCAACAAAAAAAGGTATTCATGAATAGTATTACGTCAATATTATCGTCGCACTGTTCACTTCATCGAGAATGATATAAATTTTCACGTTCTGGTGGAGCAACTCGAGGACTACAAACACAGGTTTAAAGTTTTGTAACAACTATGCCTACACTTAGGACAAGGAAGATCACCAACAAGAAGCTGAAGAAGTACTTGGAGAAGCTGTATCACTAATCTCTTAAATCAACAGTTAAGTTTGTGAGTTGCTAATTATAGCAAAAGCTCTAAAATTTTGCGCTTTTAACAGTTATTAGTGTAATTAGTCTCTTTTGAAGTTCTCTTTAAGTTAATTTTCTAAACCAGAAAGTAAGCTTAAGTGACAAAATGGCTTCATCACATCATAAAAAAAAAAACAGTTTTGACAGAGAAAATGAGTGTGCAGGTCGCTTCTGAACATTCTGAATGCTTTTTCAGTGTTGACTACCTCTTCTTAACTCTAATTATTTTCATTTTCAATAACATGAAACGAGAGAGTAACTTCATAACTTCAAAGTTCAACAATAAGTTTTTTGAAGTAGAGATTATGGATGCAGATTTTGTTAACTGAATGTCAGTTCAATTACCTGAAAAATTAAAGCATAGAGAGGACTGATATAAAATGATATATAAAATGTAAGAACAAAGTAATTAGGGGTGTCAATTTTTGACACGACACGAAACACGACCCGAACCCGACCCGGAAAAATCCGGGTTCGAGTCAACCCAAACCCGAAACGGGTCGGGTTCGGGTTCATGAAATCAACCCGTTTTAAAAATCGAGTCGGGTTCGGGTTGACCCGCCAACCCGAAATTGACCCGAAAGTGACCCGAAAACTCATTTTTGACCCGAAAACCCGAGATTGACCCTTTTTGACCCGATTTTGACCAGAAAACCCGAGATTGACCCGATTTTTGACCCGAAAATTAGCAATTTTGGGTCAATTCCGGGTCATTCGTGTCGGGTCGGGTTGACCCGGACCCAAATCGGGTCGGTTTCGGGTCCAGAAACCTGACCCGTTTTTAAAAATGGGTCGGGTTCGGGTTGACCCGAACAGTGCCGGGTCAGTTTCGAATTCGACCCGAACCCGACCCGTTGACCCGAATTGACACCCCTAAAAGTAATTAACACAGAAACAATGTAAGAACAATGATGGAAGATGGTTTTGATTGCCTTTGACTTAGGCTTTGTTTGGGACGGCTTTTTTATTGCTTCTTGAAGCAGCTTTTTAGTTAAAAATTTTAAATTTTTGTACTAAAAAACTACTTCAAGAAGCAGTGAAAAAGCCATCCCAAATGTTAGGGACGGCTTTTTTGTTGATTCTTGAAGCAGCTTTCTAATAAAAAAATTTAATTATTGAACTAGAAAGCTGCTTTAAGAAGCAGCGAGAAAGCCATCCCAAACGAAGCCTTAGTCTTTCTTTTTTGGGTGTTGGCACCCTAACATGTTACTAGGTTTTCTTGTAATATTGTTTAGAGGGAACTTTTGGCTCATAATTTTTTTAATTTGATTTTGTAGCTCTTTAGAACGATAGAGAGCTGAAGGTTCCCCTTAAGATCTTGTAATTTTTATTTTAATTAAAGTGTAGGCTCCTATGAGGATTTTAATTAAAAAAATATATAATAACAATGATTATATATTTTGTTTAATTAATTAATGCTGCATTTTTTTTTGTTTGGTTTATTTTTTTTGATTCTTTACTATTAATTACTATTAAACTATGATATAAAATGACTAATTTTTGCCATAAATTTCTTTTTAATTGACTTAGTCCAATAAAGTTGTCAGCATATAAATTTGAACTAATGAAACATAGCTGTAATTTCCCCCCAAAAAAAAAAACATAGCTGTAAATTTGAGTTAAAATGTCTTCTGAATTCCAGCAAATAATGATGTAAGCATCTTTTTGAGATAACTTTCTTACTATTTTATTTTTAAGATTGCAATCATAATTTTGTTTGGATTATTGTATTTTTGTCTTATAAAAAAAATTATATTAAAAAGCTAACTTTTTATATCAGATTTTTTTAAAAAAATATTTTTTCATGACAGTTAAATTTTTTTTAAAAAGAAGGTACCGTCATTCCAAAAAAAAAATTTAAATTAAATGCATCACATTTTTCGAAGTAGACTATTTGCTTCTGAGCTGGGAAAAACGCAACAAGCCAATGAAATTATGAAAAGGACCCCAGTGCTTAGGTGGGGTTGGTGGGCGTGCTTGGTTGGGAACCCCCATTCCAAGTTCGAATCTCCTCTCATACGGCAGGACTCCTTAAATGACGAGAAAAGAACTATTGGTCCTGTACCGTCATTCCAAAAAAAAATTAAATTAAATGCATCACATTTTTCGAAGTAGAATATTTGCTTCTGACCTAGGAAAAAACGCAACAAGCCAATGAAATTATGGAAAGGACCCCACGTGCTTAGGTGGGGTTGGTGGGCGTGCTTGGTTGGGAACCCCCCATCCCAACCAAGTTCGAATCCCCTCTCATACGGCATGACTCCTTAAGTGGCGAGAAAAGAACTATGGGTCCTGCATCTGTGGGGTTGGTTGCTGGTAGACTCACCGAGGGATTAGTGGACAGCCAAGCACAGGCTGACGTAGCAGCAGGCCGATACCCCCATTGCTAAAAAAAAAATTATGAAAAGGTACAGTTAAATATAAGATTTACATTCGATATATCCGTTGATGAATTCATGGTTGTTTGCACGTAGCATCACAGAGGTTGCTAGTAGGCTCACCGAGGAATTAGTGGACAATGCCAAGTGCGTCGCAGGCTGACGTGGCAGCGGGCTGATATCCCCATTTCAAATATATATATATATATATGAAAAGGTACAGTTATATATAAGATTTAACATTCGATATATCCGTTGATGAATTCATGGTTGTTTACACGTAGCATCACAGGCCATGTGAGTTATGCGATTATTTCGCACCATGTTCTTTCGTCGGTGCTTCTATTTCAGATGATGCTGTACAAGTTGGGGCTAATATTTATATGCACCAATACGCTATAGGAATTTAAACCCAGCTGCTACACATTTTTATTTATTTATCTATTGAAATTTGAAACTATAAAGTAACAAAACAGAGCAAAACTAATTAACTGCGACTCCCATATTCAGCTACTACTGCATCATATTCGTTTGGTTGGTTGGGTTATAGTCGAGCAATGGAGGTCATAGGGATGGTAGTCAGGCGACGCGTAGGCGGCTGGCGATGAAGGTTGGAGGAACCGTAGGCGGTTGGTGACTGAATTCGAAGGGATTACAATCGGCGGCCGATGGAGGTTGGAGGTGTCACCACCCGATCCGATATGACCCAATACTAGACAGGTCACATCGTGTCTGATTGTAGCAAGACATAAACCTCAATATCTACTTGAAATATTGAAATAAAACTTTCAATTTATATATTAGCATGGTCACTACTTGATGTATTATAAAGCGAAAGATTTTTGAATCTCAAAAATAATTTCTATATATCATCGAAAAATATATGTACAATCTGAGATATCTACAACAACGCTTCGCAACAGATTACAACTAAATAAAAGTTAAGCCTATAAAATAAAGCTAAACAAAAGGGTATACTACCTACAGCATAGATCCGGGCCTAATATCCAAAGCTACTCAACTTGCTCATTATCCTGTCCTTAGCCTAAAAATGGAAGCAATAGGGGATTGTGGTCGGAGGCACCGTAATTAGCGAGCAATGATGGTAAGAGAGACCGTAGTTGACAGGTGATGGAGGTCGGATGAAGGCCCGTCGATGGCTATCAAACGGAGGTCCGACGGCGATGATCGGGCATAGGCCAAGCAGCGGTGGCCTGGTGACGAGGGTTTGACGACAGTGGTGCCAGGGTGAAGCTCTATGATGCTTCAAGCTTCAATGTCTCGAGCCCAGGATATAAGCCTCCGAAAATTCAAGTCTCTTTCATATGGGAAGAGAATGTCTATTTATAAATTTTGAGAGTGTCATACTTCATAAATATGAAGAAGATATGATACTAATTCAAAGTGATCCTTTGAACAAACAGTATTGATTCCATCAATCATAGAACATTCATTCAGTATTTAATTACTTTAATGATGTCATAATTAAGCAATCTTAGGCTTGTTGTATTCATCTCGTCAAGTTGCTCGATTTAACTATAAGCATGCCACATTTGGATACCAATTAGTCATCCAATTTATGTTTTGGAGCTTCAAAATATGTTTTAAGCCCTTGATTTGAGCTCATTTGAACTCGGATTGTATCAATTTTATTATCATTTGGTTCGTCTCACTGAGACGTTCAATTTGAATATAGTTTACTTAAATTGAAATTCAGATGATTCTGAATTTAATTTTAGAATTTGCCACCTCATATATGCTTCGATATTCATGCTCGATCAAATTGATTTTTTGTGACGTATCGAATAATGCAAAAGCGTTCAAACAAAGCATGAAATGAAAGCTTTGCACACATTTCATAAATTATTTATTCAACTATATATTAAAATTTATTTTATATTTTGAGTTTCTTATCAAAATATTTTTATAAAAATTAATTATATCTAATTTTTTTATTATTTGCTTTATCCTATGGTTTTGATATTATGCTCATCATAAAAACAATTTATCTGATAAAATATTTCTACCAAAGTTTTTGTTGTGGGATGCTACAAAACAATGCAAAAATTTTCTCATACATACAATGCTTAAAAATTGATGGTGATGCTCATGCAATGCTTAAAAGTGACAGATAGCACGCTAGGATTTAATAGGTAGCTGGTGATGGTTAGGGCTGAAAACGAATCAAACCGGCAAGCTGGAGCTCATTTTGATCGATGCATATTAGCAACTCCATTTGAGTATTTCAATATATCTGAATTTTATTTATTTATTTTATGTTTTTTGTGGATGGTCACACCCAATCAATTTCATTAAATACAAATGATATATCCTCAAAAAATCATCTTGATCGGGCACGAATCTCAAGGCAAAATCAAGATGGAAACTTCAAAAATTAAATCCGAAATCACCTGAACTCCCATTTCAGCAAACTTATAGTCAAACTGAGCGTCTCGAAAATACGAACCCAACGACACCAAATTTGACTCAATCCGAGCCCAAATGAGTCCAAATCAAGGAACCAAAGCATTGTTGGAAAGTTTGAACTACAATTTGAGTTACCAAACTGTTTTCTAACATAACTTGATTATAGTAGAATCGAGCGGCTCGACGAGACGAATCCAAAGAGCCCAAGATCGCCGAATTCCGACATCATTAAAACCTTCAGATGTCAGACGAACGGTCCACGATCAAAGGATTCAATATCGGCCGTCCATCCAACTACTCCTTATTTACCCCTAATCTCTCACCTATTTAATGGTCATGCCACTCCAGAATATCTATAAATAGACCCTCTCATTTCTCTTGAGAGGGGACCCAAGCAAGAAGAAGAAGAAGAAGAAGAAGAAGAGAAGAAGAAGAGAATTATAGGAGGGAAGAAACTCCTCGAGCACCGCCGAAATTTTGCCCGACGCCCGAGTGACGTCGGAATTCTGCACGACGCCCAAGTGACACCAGAATTCTACCCGACGCCCAAGTGACGCCGGAACTCTGCCTGATTTCCAAGTGACGTCGAAGTTCTAAGTGACTCATAATTCAACTCAAATACACAACTTTTTTGTAATCGAATTTCAATCTGGAAATGTAGCATTGTAATCTGATCGTCCTAAATTTTAAGGACGAGTCAGTCTCTTGTACTTCAAACAAACACTACTAGCTAGAATTATTTCAACTGGGCGTGGCCCCGTGATTTTTTTCCTTTCCAGGATTTTCCACGTAAAAATTCTAGTGTTATTATTCATCATCTATTTGTGTGTTAGATATTCGTACAATACTGAGACGAAAATTTTCTAACTCTATCACCGCGTATATTCTAGCCCACACAACAAAAAAATTTATTTATTATACAAAGTGACAAAGTCACCAACAAATATAAAAGACATTGCTATTTCATATGAGAAAACACCAACAAATACAAAATATAAAACTATAAAAGGGCTTCATATACTTTATTCAACCGAATTGGCATTGATTTAACTACAACAACGATATGCCAAAATATTTTTTTTTCCGCAATGACTGTAATTCATGATGGGTCTTAATAAGACTTGATGATATGCATTATGAATTGCCCTAAATATCAGCAATTTCCTGATGTATGCTATCATGAAGTGGAGTGGTAAGTCTTGATAGGAGTTGTAACTATGCCTTTTGAAATAAGCTATGTCTAAAAGCATAGTGACAAAATAGGGTGAGGAAGTGGAGGAGGAGAGAGGGCTTCATGAAGGACAATGGTTGAATGCCAACAAAATTATTCTATGGAATCTAGATGGAAGAACTATCCGGACATGAGATACACTGTGTACATATTTATATATAGTGTGTATTAAATTAGTGTACAAATTATTTGTACATAGCGTGCACACTCACAGCTCGGATAGTTCTCCCCGTCTGGACTCTGCACAGAATAATTTCTTCGAAGTCTGAGGGAGGATTCACATCACCTAGGATCACAGAGGTCAAAATGTCCAACAAAAAAGTTGATGATATTGAAAATTTTGGAGGGTTTTGAATGCTAGAGAAAGTTTGAGGGTTTTCAAATGTAAGGTCATGCCTTGTTGTAATTAACAAAGAGAACTTAAAACTTTTATACGAAATTTTTATGGATTATGACAAGATGACTATGGGATTAAAATGATGTTAGCATGATATTTCTTATGTCTTTTAAGAATTTGAGTGTTATAAAAATAAACAATATTTTTTGATATATTAACTATATAGATAGATAGATATTGGATTACATAGGTAGCTCATCTTGATTTATTGGTGAGTGTTTTGACTATCAATTAAAAAATTTTAAATTTAATTTTATATGTAGAATCTATATATAAATTTACATTAATTAATCAAAATGTTTCAAATAATATATTGGATTACATGTTTCTATATCAGCCAAATTTTTAATATAATATATAGTTCTACTTCGTAAAGCCGTGCGTGGAAATTTTGCGGGTTATAAAGTGGACAATTTCGTACATGTTAGCACGTTGTCTGCTGAGCATCCAAACCCGCAATGTGATCTGAATCCTTTCGGAGAATAAATAGGACAATATATCAGTTTAAGATATCATAATTTTTTTATTCATCTGCATTTATTCTCGATCGCCGGTCAGATTTACAAAGTGGTCGGAGAGAACCACCGCTAACCCTAGAGTTCTCCACATTCCATGGCCACCTCCTCCGAATCCAACAATGCGGTCGATGGATCTTCCTCTACAAACGGCGCATTAGCCGCTGCAACCCAGATCCCGCCGCCCCTCTCCCCACATCGTAAGGTGGCGCTGATCACCGGAATCACAGGACAAGACGGATCCTACCTCACCGAGTTCCTACTCGGCAAGGGTTACGAGGTCCACGGTCTCATCCGCCGATCCTCTAACTTTAACACCGCCCGCCTCGACCATCTCTATGTCGACCCCCACAACTCCCACAAAGCCCGCATGAAGCTCCACTATGCTGATCTCTCCGACGCTTCCTCTCTCCGTCGATGGGTTGATTCCCTCCACCCCGACGAGGTCTACAACCTCGCCGCTCAATCCCACGTTGCCGTCTCCTTCGAGATCCCAGATTACACTGCTGATGTTGTGGCCACGGGCACCCTACGCCTCCTCGAAGCTGTCCGATCTTCCTCTAAGAAGGGGATCCGCTACTACCAGGCCGGATCCTCTGAGATGTTCGGATCCACGCCGCCGCCTCAATCCGAGACTTCCCCTTTCCACCCACGATCGCCGTACGCCGCCGCCAAGTGCGCTGCGCACTGGTACACAATCAACTACCGCGAGGCCTACGGCCTCTTTGCTTGCAATGGTATCCTCTTTAATCACGAGAGCCCGCGCCGTGGCGAGAATTTCGTCACCAGAAAGATCACTCGCGCTGTGGGTCGTATCAAGGTCGGTTTGCAGACCAAGCTCTTCCTTGGAAACCTATCTGCAGCCAGGGACTGGGGCTTCGCTGGCGATTATGTTGAGGCCATGTGGATGATGTTGCAGCAGGACGAGCCGGCCGATTATGTGGTGGCAACTGAGGATTCGCATTCTGTGGAAGAGTTTCTTGAGGAGGCATTTGGGCATGTGGAATTGAATTGGAAGGATCATGTGGTGATTGATAAGAGGTACTTCAGGCCTGCAGAGGTCGACAGCCTGAGAGGGGATTCAACCAAGGCGAGGAAGGTGCTGGGTTGGAAACCTAAAGTGGGGTTCAAGGAGCTTGTGAGGATGATGGTGGATAATGACATTGAGTTGGCTAAGAGGGAGAAGGTTCTCGTAGATGCTGGCTATATGGATGCGCAGCAGCAACCCTAGTTGGTGATCCCACTCTCCTTGGTAATGTCAAAATTTAATAATAATAAAAAAAATCTCCGTTTCGAGTCTACTTTCCCTTCATTCATTTAGATAAAGTGAGATCTACTTGTTCTTGAAATACGTGAAACTTTTATTAAAAGCTTAACGCCATTGTTGTTTCATTCTGTTCTTGTTGTGTAGCTGTATTTTGCTAAATTTAATATTTAACATATCTAGCTTTTGGTTCTTAAGCTGTTGTGAACAACTTATCTTTGCTTTTTATGTTTATTAGCTTGTTTGTACTTTCATTCGTATTGTGAGCTTATTGGGACTATGGAGTTCTTTAGAAGAATAGCTTCAGTTGTGGGTTATTTTTGGCTGATGTATAGAATCAGACTAGGTAAGAGAGAGTGATAAGTGTACATCACTTTGTCTCTTTTAAGATGATACCTCTGAGGTTTGGGGATGAATTATTTTGTGCGGACTCCGAACGTTGTCCAGAGCCCAATGAAAATGCGCCAAGTCACCCTCTACTCGGTACCACGGCTCGGTGCTCGGTACTGAGCTTGGTACTGGATGGCGTGGCTGCACCTGATTCGCCTCTAGATGGTAAGTTGTGTCCGATGTCCGCACAGAATAATCTCTCAAGGTTTGGGTGGATGATACTTACTAGTGTTTTAGGTCTTCCAAGTAAATTGTCCTTTGTTAATGTAATGAAATGCTCATGTTCATGTTAATCCATTTTTCTTTCCGTCCTATTCCTGATGCATATTGCCCCCTGTTTCTTGCAGTATTTTTATAGTATAATACAGGATTTTTGGAGCTGACCCAGCCTTAAAATTTAACTTTATTTGTTTATTTTGTCCTGTGAACTTATTCTTTCCTGTTAAGACTTTTGTTTGGCTGTGGTGGGATCTTGATCTAACTTTTTTTATGTGAGATACTGCAAGTGTTGATAAATCTTGATATTTGGGGAAATATTGTGTCAGGAGCTCTTGAAACAAATGCGATTTGGAGTGGGTTTTTATTGAGACAAGTGGCATTAGACATGTTTTTTGAAAATAAAAAAAAAAAGAGTTGATAATGAATTCTACAATTTTGTTTATGTATATATCATATAAATGCCTTCAAAATTTGTGATTACTTTGAAATTATTGCAAATGTCTTCATTATTTCTGGACTGGAAATAAACTAATCAATTGATAGTTTAGATGATTAATATTACTTGTCGTACTGTGAAGTCAATTCTGATCTCATTTATGTCATGCGCTCCAAGCAGAAATTCTTTTTCTTGATATTTTTTTAGAATTTACTTATAATGTTTTGCTTCTTCATTTTTGTCTTTGGGTACTGAAAATATTCTGTCAGCTAACTTGCGGTGTGTTTTACTTAATGACTAATTTAGCTATATCCAATGGTTCTTTAGTTTGGGATTAATTTATGATTAAGTGTCTAATTCTATCAAGCATCACATTTCTTTCTGTCTGTTTGCTAGATTAGCTAATCCTTCTTATCAAAACTAAATTATACTATCTTCCTTAATTTAAGACACCCTCCCTCCCCTGGTATTTTTATCATCTCCATTATGGATTCTTGGGATTGACTTAATTCCTGATGTATTATAGGAAGATAGATTAAGTTATTTTTGTCTTCAGCAAAGATTGGCCTAATCCCTAATCTTTGATTTAATCCATTGACCTTACCTTATCATTTGGATTGCCAATCTTCACTGACTAGATATATTCTCAAAACTAATCAGCATAATGGCGTAAGGACGATCTATAACTAGTTTATTTTTTAACTAGTATATTTTTGCAATGTTATTATATCAGTTGCACACTGCACAGCTTGGCTTGAAGGCGATGCCTTCAGAATTGATTCCAGGCGAACATTTCCTTAGATATGTTCTATCATTGTGTTGCAGGAAATGTAAATCATTCTTGATTATTTTTCTTCCCAAGCCTTGCTAATTCTTTTGTCTCTCTATACACCCTGTTCAAATTACACGCTTATCAACAGTTAAAAACTAGTTTCTTAGTTTGATTGTATGAACTTGTAACCTTTTTATATTCATGTAATGAACATCTAGTGGTTTTGAAATCTGACAAGTTGATGAACTGCTTCACTGTATATATATATATATATATATATATAACTCCAACATAAACCAAGGATACTTCTTTGAAGTGAACCAAACTCCTAACTCAATATTTGAACTTAACAAAGGTCTCTTCTCATATCAGGCAACCGCCCAAGGTTACATGAAGACGTTCTCAACCACCTGGTTTATTCGTAACCAAAATAAGAGATCAATCATTGACGAAAGCACCCCAAAAAAAAATTTTTTTTTGACGAAAGCACCCACCGTTGCTTAGCTTGGTTGGTGGGCGAGTATGGTTGGGAGCCCCCAACCTGTGCTCAATTTTATCGAGCGGCAGCGTCTCTTAAGTGGGGTCCAATCAAGGACGGGCCAGGAGGTTTCTGGGATGGGTGCCTCTTCTAGGTCAGCCGAGGATTTATCAGGCTGCCAAACGCCATACCTCTTTCCCAAAAAAAAAAAAAAAAAAGTCATTGACGACAGATAACTGAGTGAAATATTTAACATAGACTAAGTTAGTAGCAAAGGTGTACCTCATGCACAAATCCACCTCAGTATTGTCTGAATAATCTTGAATGAGATAACTCGTGACTGCTGATTAAATTTTCTGAAAGTTAAGGCATGACGATCTCTGACTTTGGCAAATTGGGTTCGTAAGATCTGACTAGGAAATAAATCATATGATCTTTGATCAGGTTACCATCTCCTCTCTACTGAAATTATAATTTCTAACTTTGAGCTTGTGTTGTTCTTAACTAGTAGTGTAATCCATCTATGATAGAAGATGTGAATTAAGAGAAGGGCTTGTGCCCATAAAAATAAATTCTTTTCACAGGTTTGGAAAAGTCTGTGCCAAAAGAAAAGCAATCTTGCTCTTGAGAACACACCATCCCCAATTTGTCAAAGAATCAAGCAGTGTCCTTTCTTAGAGAAATTATTCTGTGCTGATTTCGAAGGTAGAGGATCATCCGGATGTTGCATATGTATTGCATATAGATTGAGTATGGATTGCATATTTATTGCGTATTTGTAGATACGCCTAAAATACTAATTTAATATTCAGTAAATACTCACAACTAATGATTAGCTTAGTATTTGCTACATATCTACAAATACGCAGTTAATATTTAGTTCATACGCAACATCCAGATGATCCTCTACTTTCGGAGTCCTGCGCAGAATAATTTCTCCCTTTCTTATAGCCTATAATTAATCCTATAAGATGCGTGAAGGAAGGTCAAAAGAGTGTATCCTAGATATACTCTTTTGTGAAGAGTTTGTAAGGAAACTGCATAGTTCTGTAAGGTCTTTACCTAGTAATACATTTTGCTTCAATTGCTATAATATTGCGATTACTGAGGAAAAACAAGGAACTATCGAGGACTTAAAGATAAAAAATAGATGTAATAAGCCTGATGATATATTGTATCGTTCTTAACCGTATAAATAGAAGAAGAAGAAGATTCAAATCTCCAAAAAAATAGTATGGCATTACAATCTTCAACAGGACAAGTGAGCGACTAATTTCTTCACTGATTCTTCAAATAGTGTGGGAAAAATATCTATGAACTTACAGGAGAGTCCCAGAAACAAATAAAGAGTTAAAATGGCTTGATGATTTCATTAAGGCATAGTGAAAATGTAGACTTTCCCTATTTAAAGCTCCCACTAATACAAAATTCGGGAAGAGATTGTAAGGAATTTGCTCAGTTGTATGAGTTTCTTACTAGGATGTCAACTTTCTTTAAATTGCTATAATATGTAAGGGAGAGGGAGAAAAAAAAACTTATGAAGAATGGTACATGAGAAATAGATGAAGTTTGGACTTTGGAATTAGTATTTCATTGTGGTATTGTTGGATTAAATAAATATGATATTCTGGCAACCAATTGGAGAACAAGGCGGCGGAGATCGCATTATTGTTGAATTTAAGGTTTCGTTTGAGATAACTTTCTTACTGTTTTTTAAAGTAATTTTTTAATAAAAAAATTAAAAATTTTATACTAAAAAATTGCTTTAAGCAGCAGTAAGAAAGCTGTCCAAAACAAAGCTCATGTCGTTCAAAAAATATGGTAAAAACATCTAATGTATAGGTGGTGAATCCCATCAGAAGCTATAAAGAATGTCATAATATTCAGATTGCTACTTGAATATTTCAGTGATAAATCACCAGAAGCATTGTAGAGTAATGTAGCTGAAGGAAGCTGAGATAATGTTTTTTCTGCGCTCAGTGGAATTTTTATTGCGTCCTCCCACCTGACGTAGAGATACGTCCTCTCAGTGTTAAAATCGCGCTAAAAACGAGAAATACCGAGCAAATACCGAGCAATACCAAACAATAACGAGGAATATCATCATGTGAAGACCAATACCGAGCAATATCAAACAATACAAATAATAATGAGGAATATCATCATGTGAAGACCAATACCTAGTTTTTCCT